GAAAGCAGAAACCAAAATAGAAAGAAATACTTTTTTTCCATTATTATTATTAAAGCCCTGGAAGATGATCAGGAAGTGGGGAATTTGGCCACTTTTTAGAGATCATGCATATTCTTGAGCAGTTTTGATGAGAAACTCGAGAGTATACAAGTCCAAGTTCTGACTGAATTCTGGAGAGCAATTAAAGTATGTATCTGTGAACGCATGGCTAAGGTATAATAACACTCTGGGGTGAAGAAGGAAACAGGGCTGGGAAACCCCAAGCCTAGAAAATTCATTGTAGGGCATGGGTAACAAATGTGACAATGAAGAACTGCAACTCTTGACTATATACAGTCTCAGAAATGCAAAGCTGCCAGTTATCTGTAAAGAGAAAATTAAGTGTTCTTAGAATCTAAAAAATCAAGGTTTAAATTGTGAACAGCGATAAGGCCAAGGTCATAATTTAGAAACATAAAAAAAATTGGAAGTTGCTTTTCATCTGAAGGACATGAGTTGTGTTGTTCTAAAATTCCAGTTTAGAAAGAGGAGAACACAGGCAAGAAAAGTGAGGTTCAGAGCATCTGGCATCCTCCCAGTGGAACAGAAAGCAGGCAACTAACATAACGTCCTTTGGCAAAAAAGTTTACGTCACTTCTATCTAGCATGTATTTTGAAACAATAAGGAAAAGCCTGAAAATACAGGGTTAATGATAAACCAAGCATTTTCTCTTGACAGAGAGCAGAAAATGGAGATTTTAACTGGATAATACCAAACAAATTCATTGCCTTCAGTGGACCTCATTCAAGAAGTAAAATTGAAACTGGTATGCTTAAAAAAGGAGGTGGGGGACACAAGCCCACTGCTTTCTTAGTCAATTGTTATCAGTAAGAACAAGCTTTAAAAATTGTTCCTCAAACAGTGTGTTTTTTCCTTGGCTCTTTTTCTTTTATAAGAACCCTGGCAGTAAAATTTTAATGCTTGGTCTAATTGTATCTGACCTAGGTGATTATGTTAAAATTCCATTTTCAGTTAGTCTATTTTTTTATGTTGAACATCAGATCTATTTTGAAAGTGTTTTAATCTCTTGTGTTTGAGTCTTTGTTTATTTCTGCAGTTTGAGCCTTCCTCTCTTCTTTTTTTTTTCCCCCTTCTTTTTTCAAATAGGCTATCCTCACCATGCTCCAGAGGCTTATTTCCCATACTTCAGGAGACATAAGGTCACCACTATAATACGCCTCAACAGAAAAGTGTATGATGCCAAACGATTTACAGATGCTGGATTTGAGCATTTTGACCTCTTCTTTGCTGATGGAAGCACACCTAGTGATACTATAGTTAAAAAATTTCTGAATATTTGTGAAAATGCTGAAGGTGTTATAGCCGTTCATTGCAAAGGTATAGTGTAAAAACAATTTATATTAGAAGTGATGTTTGTAGTTAAAGTTCCTGAGGTATTTTGCACTATAATTCCATTCTATCTAGTTATTTATCTCTCTGGCAAACTGTAACTTTTCTATACAAACTATTTCTATGTTCTGCACTTCGTCTTTTAATTTTTTTTAAGTTCCAGAAAAATCTTCCCAGCTGTTTCCAAGAATGAGGCTGGGGAAAGTGAGCTTGCTAATATTAACAGCTCTTTCTGCTGTACAGTCTTAGCATTTTCAAAAGATGCTTTTGAGCCGGAATTTGAAATCCCGGCAAGGTTTATAGGTCTTTCTGAAAATGCATGGTTAAATATACTGAGTCACAAACTTTTGAAATAATCAGTGCAGCTTTTTGAGGAGATTCCTCATAAAGTATGAGTGTTCTTCCAGAACCACAGAAATCTTTATCCCTCAGAAACCTTTTATACTATCTACATTGGACATGTTCTGAGTATCTGTTCCTCCAGAATTAGGCTGTCTAGGAGAAGATACTCAGAGCACGCCCAATGCAGTTAGTATACAGTTTTCTGTGGTTATAGTGGAACTATGTTTCCCTTCCTGCACCATCTTTAATACTCTATCAGATATTTGTTTTCCTTACTGGCATACCTGATGATGGTGTGATTGAAGGACACAGGCCTTTTCTTAACCCATTTGCCTGAGACCTGCAAAGGCTACTTCTTTGTTACTGGGTCTGCCATCCATTTGCTGTGAGTTTAACAAGGTTATACTGTGATGTGGAAGAACGGGTGAAAACAGCATCTTGACTGTTGTATAGCAAGTGCATACTCGTCCTCTCCACTCAGGTGATATATTCAGGCATATCGCTTACTTGATTACACCTGGATATTGAGTATCAGTGGTACAAGTGCTTCGTTTTCATTCCAATGAAGATGTTCTTTGATATTTATCATACTAGTGATGTCTAGACTATGTCGTGGTCCTCAGTCTGCTCTTACTGTTCAGAAAGAGTGCTGTAGCCTGTTACTACAGCTGGGCAAGGCATGGGGAGTGCTGTGTGTTTGTCTTGGCTGTTGGGCTCCACTGAAGATTTAATGCTGGTATTGATCAGTTGATCATTAAATGAGAGAAGGTGAACTGTTTTGAGGGCCATTGCAAGGAATTCTGAAGTACTTTTTACCTGTGTCAGCTAGTACCTGGACCTGCTTATTGCAAAATTTGTCTTTTCATTGGGAACTAAAGAGATTAGTTAGAGGAGTGATAGCAAGAGCAGCTGGTTTCAGTGCAGTGTATGATCAATTTGGTGATCAAGAAGGTGCTTTGAGGATTTTGGAAAAAAGACAGATGTACTATCCCATGCATAAAAACATTCTCATACCTGTATACATATTCATAGATACATAGGTAAATAAAGATATATAGGCTTACAGATATTTGTAAAGTCCCTGGCTTTTGAAGGTTACCTCATTTAAAAAACATGTGAACAATGTGTTAGTAACCTTATATATAGAAAAAAAATTAAAAAGGTAAGTTACACTTTTAAAGTTTGACCAGTAATTAGTTCATTTAATAAACTAGGCAAGTAACTGTTTGTCCAGGTAACAATGTCTGTAACTACAGCAGATTTTAGATGAAGATGGGTATGTAAAAGAAGTAATTCTTTTATCTTTCACAGCTGGTCTTGGACGAACTGGCACACTTATTGCCTGTTATATTATGAAGCATTATCAGATGACAGCTGCTGAAACTATTGCCTGGATTAGAATAAATAGACCTGGTTCAGTGATTGGGCCACAGCAGTGCTTCCTGATGGAGTAAGTGGATTGACTATAAATTATTTCAAAAATAGATCTAGATGTCTTCTTCTTTTATTGTACACTTTGGTATTAATTTGTTGTTTTGGGCTTTTTTTTATCCATGTTATGATAGCAAACAGGCAGAACTTTGGAGAGAAGGAGATATTTTCCGTGCAAAGTTGAGAGGAAACCATAAAATTGCTGTAACAGGCATTCTGTCAGGAGTAGATGATATTTCAATTAATGACACAAGAAACAGGAGAACCATCCGAAAAGACATTGAACTGGTAACCATCCAAATATTGTGCTCTTGAAAAAGTTGCAGCCGCTCTTTTCAGTTTTTAAGTAATTGCAACTTCTATAATACCTTTTGATGCTGCCTTTTTAAAAACTGTTCTGTTCTGCTGTTCTAAAAAGGCAAGTGAAGGAGGGAATTGCTGTACTTGAGTGAAGATTGTACTTTATCTAAGCAAAGATTTGATAGTATGTTTGCACTATTTTAAAAGTAGGCAGCATTCTGATGCATGTACTTCACAACACCACTTAATGGTTTACAGCTTTAAAAGCAGCAAACAGGAGACTGGAAAGAACAGAACTATATTTATGCAAGGGAATTTCCTTAGATTTTATGCTAGCAAACTTTCTTCTTAGGATAATTTTGACTTTAAGATTTAAGATTAGGTCAATTCTTAAATGTCTGAGTGTCTATATTTTAATCTTGGTTTACCCATTTCCCCC